TAGCCCCTACTCAAAAGAAAAAGAAACGGCCAATTCCCAAGTGCATGCGGACTTGATTTTGGCTCCGGATGCACCTAAAACATGTGTTTCTCCTCATGCATGTAATCCGTTTTATTCTGGTTGCAAGGGGCCTTGATTTTCTTTGATTTTCTCTGCAAAAATCAAAGAAAATCAAAGTCCTTTGTGACCGCCATATTCTATAATGAATCTGGTTACGGATGAATCTCCCCAAGTGGTCGTTTTTGACCGTTAAGGCATTTTTCTCTTTTCTTTTCTTTTCTTTTTTCTTTTCTTTTCTTTTCTTTTCTTTTCTTTTCTTTTCTTTTCTTTTCCTCCTTTCTTGGACAGTAGGGACCTGCTAGTCCCTACTTGTGGCAGTCCCTACTGACGGCCAACTCACTCACTCCTTCTCACTCTTTTTGTTTTATTCTCCCTCATTTTCTTTTCTTTTCTCTTTTCTTTCTAGCATCTCAAGTGTGAAGTGGCCGTTAAGGCCCTTTTCTAGCCTCTTCCTCTTAGTTTTGGCCCTTCCTATACCCAAAGTGCAGTCCGTTATATCTCGGACTGCAATAATGGCCTTCTCATGCTCATGGGAGCTTCCCTTCACTCCTATTTTCCTCCCATAGTGGCCCCCCCTTACTCCGATTTTCTCCCGGAGGGCTATTTTTCACATGGGGTCTCTTTTGACTCCTTTTTCTCGAGGGAGGCTGATCCGAGATTTTTCGGGTTGCTCTCATGCCTCCCACCTCAAGTTTCTTTACCTTTTCTTTTCTTTTCGGCCTTCCCATTTGCTACCGCTAGTGCTTGCACTAGTGGTGCTAATATTCTTGGCCGTTAAGATCTTGATCTTGACGGTGCACCTTGCCTTTATTACTTTCCCTCATGCGGTACCGCCGTTTCTTCTTGGGACTTTCACATGTCCCGCCACTTGCCTCGTCGGTTGTCCCCGGCACTTAGTCCCGCCGGTGGTCTTCGACACTTAGTCCTGCCGGTGGTATCCGGCACTTAGTCCCGTCAGCGGTCCCCGGCACCGGCACTTAGTCCCGCCGGTGGTCCCCGACACTTTTCGCCCCGGATGCCATTATTTTTACTTAGTCCCACATGGCCCCGGGTGCCTTTCCCCGAGGTGTCCCACGTCCCTTGGGCGTTTTGCCGCCCCATGGTGACCCTTCTCCCTTGTCTTTTCTCGCGCCTAGCGCGTGTCGATTTCTTTGGTCGTGGGCCTCCAACCGGAGGCCCCCGTAGGTGGCCCCTATGTTGGGCCCTCGTTCTCTAGCTTCCCACGGCCTCCGGCCGCCCATCTCTCGATTGCCTCGTTCCTTTGTCGTTGTCGTGCTACATTTGCTGGTCCAAGGGCCCTTTGGCCTCAGTCTTATCGAGTTCCAGAGGCCTTCTCGGCCTCATACCATGTGCTATGTGCCCCTGTTCTTGCGCTTGCTCGCTTGTCGTTGCTAGTTCTTTCCCCTGTGGTTCTCACCTCAGGGCGTTATTCCCTCATGCGGCCCAATCCTTTATCTTTTCTCTCTCCTGCCTCCTCACTCTAGATTTCTTTGTCGTGCACAATTTGTCTATATTCAGTCTCTCGAGTGATGGGAAGTTATTCAGGACCCACTAGTCCGACACCGGCCCCTGCAGGCCCGTGTGGCTGCGCAGTATGCCACACTTGGGCTGCTGGGCAGTTGACCGAAGTCAACTGTCGAGCGCACAGGCCCTGAGGCCAATTCGGGTGTTTTTTCCTCCCCTTGGTCTTTGGGGCCTCAGGCCGGGGTCGCGGCCTACCTGTGGCCTTAGGGCCACATTAGGGCATATCGAGCGGGGTATTGCAAAATTTTTTACTTTCAATTTTTGCGCTGGGGCTGCCCGGGGGTCATGCCGAGCTGGGCAACCGGAAATGAATCCAGGCAGGCGATGGGTGCTTGGCTTCCCGGAAAACAACCTAGATTCCAGCACTATTATAGCACCAGAGGGGCCTGACACTGAGCATCAGGGCTCTGTGACAGGCAACTTCATGCCCAATGCAGCTATCCGGTTGGAGTGGTATGTATGAACCTGGCCTCAAAAGGCCTGGCCATGAATGGAGGAGCCCCAAAATGTGGCCTTGGTCCAAATAGTCGTAAGTCTGTTCGGACATACTGCAAGTCGGGAACGACGTCCAGAAGGAGACAAAAATAGAACAGACAACGAGTCAGCAATAATAAATAAATAAATGCTGGATCAAATATGAACCTGCAACCTGAGAAATGGCCGTGGGCGTCTAGGTTGCATGCCTGGAATGGGTGTGTGGGCTAGGGGCCCGCAGGAACCGTTGGGTCCCCAAATGGGGCCCGTGTGCAGATGCAGCATGCAACCCCCCCACCCCCTTCCTTATGAAAACAATCCGAGGCGAGGCCGAAGCTGACGATCCGATGGTGGAACCTGGTCGCGAGTACGGCGTGGAGCCGAAGGTGCCGGATTGCCTTGCCTTTTGCGTTCGTAACGTGCGAGGACGTTGGGGGCCGTAGCCTGGAGTTCCGCACGGGTCAACCAACGGTCAGCCTTATGGCTACAGTAGGAAAAGTGTACCAAGTACTTTGTTGGTTTGTTGTCGTAGCACCTCTGCGAGATGATGTCGCCAACCTCCTGAAAACCATCCATGGACGGTGGGTCTTGTGATCGTCGCTGGCGAAAGTCACCGTGTTCCGCCGAAACGGAAAGAGCGAACTTCGAATAATGAAAGACCAGGTAGACGGGCAAGTGGGTGGGCACCTGAATTACAAATGAGAGCCCTTCCGGTGCATTACCAGCAGGTGCTACAATGCGCCAAGGCCCCATCCATTTCGGAAGGAGCTTGCGAGAGAGATTTTGCTCGAGGCTAAATTCTGCGGTGCAGAGCCAAACAAGGTCGCCCGTGTGGAACGGACAAGGAAGACGCCGACAATTGGCTTGACGACTCATGTGTAGCTACGTCTTCGACATTTGGTCCCGTTCCTTGAAAAGGAGCTCTTGCATTCGTCGAATGAAGGCAAGGTGGTCATTGCTCTCGTTCGTCCGTGGAATGATAATGTCCAACGACGATGTGATCAGCGAGCCATGCTCGAACTTGAAGGGCGAAATCTTGATAGGCGGATGAATGGACGAGTTGTAGGCGAACGCGATGTTCGGCAACCGCTCAACCCAATACTTTTGGTCGGGACGGATGAGAGTGCGAAGAAGAACTTGTGCAGTTTGATGTACCCTCTCCGTTTGGCCATCGGTTTGCTGGTGGCAGCTAGAACTCGGCTTAAGGGATGAGCCCCATCGCTGGAGGAGACCAACGCAAAAGTCAGACATGATCCGAGTGTCGCGATCGCAAACGATCTCCTTGGGGTAACCCTTGGTGCGAATCCAACCGGCATAAGAACCTCGACTAACTCCGGTGCCTTGGAGTGATAGTGACAAGGCCAAAACATGGCGAACTTGGTGAGTCGATCGACCACTGTGACAATCTCATCCATCCCAGTCTTGTGCTTGGGGAACGGCCCGGTGTTGTCCATGCCAATCGATTCTTGTCGTCCTAGGGGGACCGGTAATGGTCGTGATTCCTCGAACAAAAGATGATTGTGGGATTTGCAACGCCAACAAACCTTGCATGACTCGAAATAGTGCGTGACGTCGCCGAGCAGGGCGGGCCACCAAAAGTGCTCACGAAGTTGGCGAATCGTACGATTTAATCCAAAGTGAACAACCACTTACTTTTGATAGTGATATGATTCTAGAGTTGTGTAGCATCGTGTCCGGGCTCGGTGCCCGAACCTGTTACATGCCCAGATGGGCAATGCGCATAATAAACCGAGGATCCGCAATGTGATAAAAAGGACTGAATGGACAATGCAATGCTAGTGAAATCTCAACAAGCAGTGTACATCCTGATACATACAACAATGGTGTTTTATAGCGTAGTGGAAAATTTAGATACAAGTCCTGACCTGACCGGGACTGACCTCTTTCACGTAGTACAAGATAGCGCAATAGAAGGCTAGAATACTAATGACGAGCCCAATTAATGTCGCAATGCAGACTAAACATACATCATTCTCATCACAAGGTGTGAAGGGGCCTGGCGCTATACACAGGAAGAGGCGCCAGGTCCAGCCATGCACAGACGAAAAGGAGGGGAGAGATGGGAAAGTCGTCATCACCAAGTCTCGTTACAAGTCCCAAATAGTCCCTCGTCAAAATGTTTGAAGTCCAATGTCGAGTCTGGATCCAAATGTCACCAAGCTCTCTCTCTCTCTCTCTCTCTCTCTCTCTCTCTCTCTCTCTCTCTCTCTCTCTCTCTCTCTCATANCACCAAGCTCTCTCTCTCTCTCTCTCTCTCTCTCTCTCTCTCTCTCTCTCTCTCTCTCTCTCTCTCTCATAGTCTGCTGATGCAGTGAAGTCAGATGTCGAGAGGGTGAGAGGGAGATGGGAGACGAAGAGGAGAATGGAGGCCGCAACAGAGGCGGCGAAAGAGTTGGAAGAGATCCGGAAGCAAAGGGATCAGATGGCGGTCCAGGTAAATTTACTGGGGAAAGTAGAAATCCTGGCTAAGAACGTGCAACGTTTGGCAAAGGTCCAAGAGGACCAGCTATTATTTGGGAGAGGCCAGGACATTGCCGTGCGTTCAATACGATCGGGACTTCGGGACTTTGCTCGGGAATCGGCAATGCAGGTGGGCTCGCATGTGACAGCCCGCCTTGAGGGCATTGAACGATACTGTGTTGGTGCCATTAAGGGCGCCAAGCTGACTGCCCCAAAGGAAGAAGAAGCACGTCCCCGTAGAGAGCCGGTCAAAGTTAAGTTTCCTGATTCCTACAGTGGAAAGAAGGAAGAGAACTTTGACAACTGGGAAGCGAATGTTAAAACGCCAGTTTCGCACGCTCCTTAGTCCGCCCTGCTAACTGCAGCGACGATGTGGTTGCCTACTCTGCGTTTACCCCTCTCGCTAACTTTCTTAAGTTGCTGCGCGAACGATTTGCAGATGTCTCGCGCAGCGTCAGAGCCTCTGACGATTGCAAACTATCCACTCTCGTCAGTGGAGGAGTGCCAAGGCACTCAAGGGAGTAATGGATGAATTAGTGGTTACCCCTGACCATGGAGTCACAGAGACCCAACTGGTCAACCTTTTCTACCGGGCTACGTCCGAGTCGTTGCGTGGGCACTTCTTTGAGAAGAGCCAGCAACCCACCATGACCTACGACGCATTGAGCAGGGAAGTGGTGGCGTTTGAAGCAAAGTCTGTGTCAGTTTCCACCTTCTGGCACAAGGATTTGGATAAGGGAAAAAGGTGGAAGGGTCGCACTATCTCAGGGCAGGTGAAGACAAAGGATAGTCTGATCCTTACCTTAGATGAGGGTAGTGTTGACGAGATCCCCTACGACCAGATAGAGTGGGGGCTGGAGGATGTGGACAGCGGCGCGAGTCAAGGGAGAACTTACGCGACTGTCGCGGCCGGAGGGAGGCCGCAAGGAGGAGGACGGGGCCAGGGCCAAGGGGGCCGGGCCTCAGGGAACCGTTCTCAGGGCGATCAGGGGGTTGGCGACAGAGGAGGAAACCGCCAAGCGGGAGGAAGGGGTCAAGGTCCCCCGCAAAACCAGTCTGGGAATAGGTCCCCTTATAGGAGAAGTGGTTGGCACCCAGGGCTGCCACAAGGCAGGCCTTGGGAAGATTTGGGTCTGGACCAGCGCTTATGGCAACAGCGTGTGAACCAGGGGCAGTGCATCTACTGCGGTGACCCTGGCCACATCATCAAATACTGTCCGAAGTATAGGGAGGCTCGTTGGGCTGCACAGGAAGCAAAAGGCAGCCGCCGGTAGGGGTAGCAACTGCCTCTACCATAGGGCCATGTGGAGATGAGTCAGCAAGTCGGCACGAATCTCCCAAACCACACGAGCCCATGGCAGAAGTTGCAGGCCAGTGCCTAGATAGCTGCCCAAAGACTGTATGTGTTAGAGTCTCTCTAGGCACTTCCCTCACAGGCGTGGCAGAGGAAGAGGATGCCCGTCTGGGCCAAGATGAGGAAAGAGAATAGGGGGCAGCTTATATTAGTAGATACAGAGATTTTTAGAGGCCGAGCTGGCACCTTAGTGGATAGTGGGGCCACTCACAGTTATATTAGTAGGAAGGTGCTGCAGAAGCTGAAGTTGCAGTTGAAAGTCCAACGACTAGCAGACCCCATAGTAAGTATCCTCGCGAGAAGATGGTCCGTCCTACTCGATAGAGATTCCACTACACCTCCACACCTACCCAGTTTTCCATGCGTCAAAGTTGTTGCCATGCACAGTAAGTGACCAGTTTCCATCTAGACGTTCCATGATCCCTCCAGACATGGATGGGAGGTACGACATTGACGGCATTGTAGGTGAAGACGTGTTTAGAACCGGAGGTCGAGGTCGTCCTCAAAAACAGTATAAAGTCAGATTTGCATATCAGGAACCAGAAGACGACCGGTGGTTCACCAGAATTGAACTTCTAGAAACAGCTCCCGACATTAGTCAGGGCCTACGAAAAAGACAGAAAGGGTAAAGGTCCTGCCTTGGACTGAAATATTCTCGGAGAACCTCGAATTTAGGCCGGCGGGAGTGAAACGGTATTCACCAGTTCGCAGTAGCTGATGCAGACCCCAGGGCTTGATCCCTAGTCCCCACCTTACCTGTGTACAGTACCTGTGTCAACCCATAGAGTTGAACCTGCGACCTGTAGGACTGCCAGTGGTAGGTAGGTCATCGTAGGTTACAGGGTATAGGGGATTTGAACTGTAGACCTGTCGGGTAGAAGTCTAGAGAGTCCAGAGGTCTTAGCTGTAGACTTTCCGAAGGGTCAAAGTCGTAGCTGCTACTTACCTGAAGGCCAAAGTCATAGCTGCTACAGGACCGAAAGGCCAAGTAGATGCTTCTAGAAGTGGCCTTTCGGAGTCAGCCCACTGTAGGTCAAGGCAAGTGGGCAAGTGGTGGAAATCCACCGTGCAGAGTCAGCAGTCCCAGTCCAGTCAGTCCGGTCCAGTCAAGCAAGTACCGCCTGGGACTGTGTGCATCGTGGGCCAGGGAAACAGGGCAGGCCGACGTGCTGACCGTACCCCAGACCTCCACCAATCATGCTTTCCACAGGCCCAGAATTCAATCCATCATAGGACAACAAGCCACACAAGTATCAGACCATCCGGAACCAATCAAAGAATACATAGTCAAATGGACCGGATACCCCGACGAAGAATGTACATGGGAACCTCTCTCTAATCTCAAGAACGCCATGAAATTTGTTCGCGCCTATGATCGTGCTCACCCTATATCCTAGATACATAATATAACTCAAACCATAAACCCTTGTATAAACCCCGCCTTGACCCCGCCAAAACCCCTTATTCCTGCTCTACGCACACCGCTGTACCCAGCAAAGCCCTTGCCTCTTGAACCTCCCCCTGTCTGATCCACTCTTGCCTCCACCTTGCCCCGTTCTCCCATCTGTCCTCCACCACATCCTTGTCTCTTTTGTCCAAGTACTCTATGTGGCCCCTGCGCGTCGTCGGCGATAATGGATCTAATGGCAACCACACGAGGACGATGGGATGCTGCAACTCAGTTCGAGGAGATAAAGCAGCTGGTTGGCCACCATGCTGTTCCCATTGGCCGGCACATTGAACTCGCAGACTTCTGAAGCCGCAACCTCGACATCAACATCAAGATCAGTCTTCGACCTACTATCCGGATCAGACCTCAGCATCAGATCAAGACTACCGGACGCCTCATGCTACTGGGACATTCAAGCTGAAGCCTCGTTGATGACGTCACCAGACGACTGAAGACTGTTCTCTCATCGATACTTCTGCGACCCATCTCAAGATCTATTTTCAAGACTTTCGCATAACCACTACTCAGAAATTTTGCAACCTTACCCCTGAAAACCCTTGTTCATCAGTAGGATTACCCTGTTCCCCGTTGTCCCTAAACCCTTAGTTCATCAGTAGAAGTGCCATGTTTTCTTAGCTCATCAATAGAACAACCCTGTTTCCAGCTCACAATGACAAAGCCCTGCTCCCTATTCACTGCATTATACCCCTCTTCCCTTGTGACTTGCTGCCCAGTGATCGGCCCCATCCCGTCCTTCACAGTTTTCAGCACTGTTTCATGATTTTTGGCAGCCAGGACGTTGCCTTCTAGAGGGAGGCGACAGTGTTACGGACTCAGCCAGGGCTCGATTCCTGGTCCGCGGGATAACACCTGCCAGTCTGCAATTTTATTTTTTTTGGGTCCCTGCTCTTCGGTTTTTAACTGTTGGCGCCCTCTGCAACTGGCGCCCGTTTTCAAACTCCTGCTTTGGCATTTTTGGGTTTCGACACTTGGCGCCATCCGGCATTCTGGCGCCCAAACTCAGACCTGCGATTCTCAGTTCAGTCCTGAGGCAGGCCGCACCTCGGCCCTCCGGACTGAGCCTGAGTCTGGTACTTAAGACCGGACTCAAGCCCCATTGGGGCATTCAGTCTTTTGCCTCAGTGCTTGTGCTTCAGTGTGACTTGCCGCAACTTTGTGTTTGGGAATCCAAGATTGCGACTTTACGACTTTGAGACTTTGCCACTTCGTGTCTGCGTCCGTTGCGTCGAGTCGAGTCCGTGTTCGAGTCAAGTGAGTGTGTGTGTGTGTGCTCTCACTCTCTCCCTCTCTCTCTCTCGGCCCCTCTGCTCTGCCTTGGCCTCGTCACACCCGCGGCCCCTCAGGCCGCTGACAAATGGGCTCACGAATACGTAGTTTGGGGAAATGAGATCCTGTTGTGACTATCCCTCGACACTATTTTTTGGGATTTTGGGGATTATGCGGATTTGGTACCGCAGTGTGAGCGTGCCCTCACACGAGTATCTGACCGCTATCAGGGGCAAATTTTTGTTTCCTTTTTTTTTCTGTTCTTTTGTTGCATTCCTTCGGATGTGACTTTCTTGGGAATGCCCTCACTCAAGGCATATACACACATGCGAGGAACGAGCCCTCACGTGGCCCTTATCAGACATACACAGGTTCTGGGCAGAGGCCGCCAGCAAGCCGAGTGCCCGTCCTAAGTGAAGGCGGGCGTGAATATTTACCAGAGGCCAAAACTTGACATTTTCATATGTGGGTACTCAGGCTGTTGCAGCCGGGTAGTTGGTTGAGTGGACGCGTGAGCCTCCCTAAGCTGCGTCGTACAGTTGGCCCAGGTCTTGCTAGTTGCGCCTGGGCACATACACACAAAGCAGGGTCGATACATCACGAAGTGGCTACAGGCCTATGCAAAAGCAATACTGTCGGCGTACCTACCCTGTGTCCTGCGCAAATGCAGCAAACGGCCCAAGTCTGGAGACTCAGGCCGTTTCCAACTGCGAAGGGCCCAGGCCCTCAACTGAACCCTTGGGCCGCAGGCACTGGGGCCCAACCGGAAGCTACTGGAAGCTTCCAGCCAGGCCACACGCAGCAATGTAGGGGCTGCCACTTCCATGTAGGAAGGAGAGCAGCTAGGGTTGGGGTATTCTGGCCCACACAGGCAATGCGGCCACGCTGCTGCGCTGCTGCATTAGAGGCTGCGTGTTGTGCTGAGGCCAGAGCGCGTGCAGGTGCGTGAGTGGTGAAGAGCGGCACTGCAGGGCAGAGGAGCGCTAGCAGCCATAGCCGGGCTGCGGGGCGCTAGGGGGTAAGCGGGCGATTGGTGGTCTTCAAGAAGGAGACAAGTATGGGTGGACAGGGTCTGATGAGGGGAGACAAGATACGTACCTGGTACATGTAGGAGGTCGGCTATGGTGTTGACATCATGTACATCTGTGTGTAG